TTTCTAGGTCTTGTCAAAACTTGCTATTCCCAGCTCCAGAAAAGAATATCTGTCATTCCCAAACCGCAAAAACACCCAGCCCTGCAGGCTTATAGAAACACCCAATTTTTTAAGAATAAAATTCAGTTTATTGGTCTAGTGACACGTGTGCATTTCATCATTAACTCTCACAAACAGAGAACTACTGTAAACTGGGCAGAGTTGTAGAAAACAGGTTTATATCTGCATCAAGCAAAAAAGTTTAGTAATCTGGATCTCTCAGCTTAACCCACTTCATAAGCTTGTTGTTAAGGATCAGACAAGCACTCTAGCTACAACTTCATTCATAAATCCTGTTAAGCCTTAGTTTGCTTTAGCAATGGTTGATTTATACATAATGTTGCCAAGAAAACTGCATATATGTGTCAATTGTATCACCAAGAGCCAAATCTGGCTGAAAAGAAACATTACCTTTTAAGCCATAAAGCTTCTAGTTTATAAACTAGAGTGCCTGGCTTGCTACATTAAGCTAAACCAAAAGTAAACAAAAGCATAAACTAGGAACCCAGCCAGTAGATTCTGCCTTAAGCAATGGAGGGAAGCGGAGGTATATACATAGTGGGGGCTCAGAACCCTTGGATTAATAAAGGGAAATGCACGCTTTTCAGTACTTCTCAGGAAACTCAATTTCTCAACAGTTATAAATCGATGGCTTTGATCAAAATAAAATTAATTGGATTAAGACCCAGATTCCTGCTTGATACTTCTTGCTCTCATCTAGAAATCATTGCTTCAGCTAATTATTAATGAAGGTAATGAACATTGTGAGACTGACAGCCAGTCAGTCAGTCGGGCAGACGTGGCAGAGCTAATGCTAAGCCCATCATGGGAAGAGGCAACTTGTCTGGTCCTGATACGAGAGGCAAAGGAAGGATTCCTCCTATCCAGAAATGCTTTTTAGGCAAGGACGGGGATAGAGCACACAAGTATGAATACATAATTACCCTTGCCCATGGAATATCTGGGGGGGGGAGGTAGGGAAGCACCAGATGTTGAGGAACCAATTCTCAGCACATCACACCATTGATCTTGCTGTCGAAACAACTGGAAATTAGGAATTCAGCAACATCCTGAAGGCTTCAGAATCCTCTCTCATCTATATAACATTTCAGATAATTTACCTACTAGGATTGGCAATAAAATGTTACAGTTTAGAATGCTCCAACCAACCCTTTTCTGATTTGCCATCTTTTTTTTCTGCCCGAGTGCACAATTTTGTCTCCACCCCAACCTGTCAATTCAGTTGTTGGTTCTTTTTTATTGCATAATGATTCATACTCTGAACATGGATGCAAATAATATTTATATATTGAAATTTTAGTCAGTCATTTATTAATAAACATGCAGAATCACATTTTGTCACCCTCAAAATTTCAGTCTGGTCTTGCTTTATACCTCACCTCTCAGTAAGATTTGAGATTGCAAGATATTGCAAGTACAACAATTGTACATACAATTTTCCAGTTATGACACTGCCATTATTTGGTTTGTTAGTTGGACTTTGATTTAGTACAATGTGTTATATGAACACAGACATTGAAATTTGTTAACTGCAGTTATGATTTAGCATGTTAAGTAAACCAAGCGGTGGTTTATTCAACAAACCATAGTCAAACAATGATGGATTCACTTAGGGCAATACATGAACCAGGTCTATAAGAGACCAAATACAAAAATATTCAAGAGATTACAGACACAAACAAATGAATGTTAACACCCGCACCATTTCACACATTCATATTACCATTTTTTCCGCAAAAACAACTGAAGTTCCAGATGTCATTTATAATACGTTATGAACTACAGGTTGCCTCCCCTTGCCAAATAAGAGCAAAATTAGTGCTTTTTTCATTCTGTACAGTAAAACAAAATGAACAGCAAATGTCTTCTTTTCACTGAGTCAGCTGAGACGAAATACTATTTTTCTCCACCTCCTCCTTTGTAAAGAATAACTAATTTATCCTTTGGGTAAAGAATAACTAATTTTCCCTGGAGGAAAACCTGCTTGTTTTCCACATTCCTTCTCATTCTTTTCAAATTACATCATCTACCAAAGATACAGGATCACACCTCATACAATTGCCTAACTTTCCCCAGGCAGTGGTGGAGGGATGTTAGTTTGGGGGCTCTAGCGTGGGTGTGTGCATTTAGTGGTTTTTGATTCTTTTGAACCTTGATTCAGTTTCAGATGGTCTTTGCTTTTATGCAATTCTCTGCTTTTGTTTGTTGTGCAGAGTTCTTGGGTAGGTGGATGGCTACATATATTATAGTAACAATAATAGTGTAGACCCAATAATTTGATACCCTACATTCCTGCAGCTGCAAGCAAAAAATGGATGGGTATTCACATCATCCTAAATAGGTTCACAGACTATTCTAAGCCATGTACCAGAACGGCTCAGAGTAATGTTGTACACATTTAGCCCCTGCAAACCACAATGGCTATATGTTCATGATTTGTGCCAAATATCGAACAAACCATATAACTGAGTCAGTAGTTTGTGTAAGCCATGCCCAGAAATCTTAAATTTTTATCTCTGTACGGTATTTGGAAAATGCTGGAGTTTTCACGAGCTTATACATGTAAGTACCTCTTCTGTCATACATAAATATGGCATCGACGTTCACAAAGATTACATTATGAATTTTGAAAAACAGATTATTCCAGATGAGTCCACCTCAGCAGATGGTAACAGGAGACCCTTGGGAATTCTTAGCTGCAATTCACCAGGCAATGGATAGAAAGCAATACGTAATTGGTTATTTCAGTGTCATCCAGATGCAATGGCTTTAGGTAGATAAGAAATAAACAGCATCAATTCCCATTAAAACAGATTCAGAGCAGACATAAAGTCCACCTGGAACCCAAACCAGGTAACAAAAAGGTAAGCAGATCACTGGAAGAAAAGACTTCACCATAATTTCAGTGGTACCTCCAGTTACTTTGCTTCTTCCAGTTAAGTGTTTTTTAGGACTTGTATAAAAAGCAGAAATTCTATAGGGGACACTTCGAATGAGGCAAATTTTGGGTGGGTGTCTCAGTTCTGGGGCTTATGGAAAAACGCTCGCGCGCGCACACACAGCTCTGCCAGCGTGTCAAGCGGCAGGGCAACAACTCCGAAGAGCGGCCCACAGTCATAGGCAGATATCGCGGGTTGCGATCTATGAAGCCTTCAGTCAGGAATTTAATTTCTCCTTTAAGGGCTGGGTGGCAGGCTGGCAAGGCAGCAGAGCCAAGCCGACGAGCGGCTGCCTCTCCCGCCCAATATAGCTCAACAGGGCCCCGCCTGTCTGTGTCCAGGCAGGGCAGCACAGAGTGACTCACGCCACGCTCGTTCAGCCAGGCGCGCACAGGGCGCAATATTAGGCAAGGGACCAGGGACTCATTCGGCCTCGCCCGAAGGCCCTGAGCAGAACCGGACAGCAAAAACCGGCCGGCCGAAGTTTTTCAACAGCTTCGAAGGTCGCTTCAACATTGTCCTTAAACTGCCCGCTGCGCAGACTTCTCCCCTGCCTCACCGGGACCCTGCAATTGCCCGTTCCGAAGACTCCAGGACTCTAGGAAGGGAGGTGGTGCGAACGCCCGCCGCGCAACACAGCCTCTCCCCTCCCCACACACCTCCTTTCACCAATCCGACACTTTTCAAGATGTGCTGGATTGCAAGTGTCAAATGCAGTGGGAAATGCAATCCAGTTGGAAAGGATACCGGGCTGGCCCCGTCGGTTTGCTGGTAAATCCCACGGAAAGCATCCCGGAGACGCCTGTACTCAAATTGAAACCGGTCGAGAAGGGGGGGGGGAACGGAACTGATCGACCAATAGCGACGGGGGAGGGAAGGGAGAACCCGAAATACGGGGGAACTCCCCAGGCACGCGGGGGAGGCTGTGGGAGGAACCGCTCTCCGCGCCCATTCCCGGCTTTCTGCTTCTCTCCGGCCCGTTGCGCTTCCCCTTCCTCTAGTTTACATATCCTCATCTCGTCCGCCGCTTCCAGCCCCGCCCTCTTAATCCTTCCGTCGGTAAACGTCCCCTTCTCTCGCGCTTGGGCGTTTCCCGCTCAGCTCCGGAGTTTTCAAAGGCCCAACTAAACCCCGCGGCCCTCATGGCAAACAAAATTTGACAAGAGCTTGGAAGTTCCGGGTGGAAGAAAAGCAAACCCCTCTTTCCCCTCAGTTCCCCTGCTCCACGCGGCGGGGAGCTTCCCCACCAAAAGGCACGCCCGGCGCAGCTGCTTCTACCGTAGCTTCGGGGTTTTTTTTCCCCCACCTTAAGGGAAAATCTTTTTATTATTATTATTGGAGAAGGAAGCAAAAACGCCAATTGCTCTACTGAGGTCATCCTAAATGAGATTCTTCTCTCTGGATGCCTGGAAGAAACTTTCCCGCCTCCCCTTATTGCCGACGACGCAGAAAGGGGTCGCGCGGCCAAAACGCCGCTCCTTAACAGCAAGTTTGGACCTCGCGATCTTCGATTGGAGGCGGGGGGGGGGGAGAGAGAAAGGTTGTCTGTGTGGGACAGCAAATGGCAGATTTCCTTCCTCTTTTAACGTGAGGGGTTCGCGTCACTTTGCTTTTTTAACCGCTTCCTTCTCGGTTATTACCTGAGAAGGCCCGCAGCTGGAAGACGTAATGGGGGGGGGGAATACATACATACATAAATAACGATCTTTTTAGGAACCAGATTTTGGGGGGGGGAGAGCAATATACTCTCAGACCGTCTCAGAGAAGGCTGCAAGGAAGCACTCTGAGGCGGTGTGTAAGACTTCAGTGCCATTGCTATTTCCATGTGCTAAGAGTAAAGAAGCGCCACCGCCCTCCTCCCCGAGGGGAGCAAAAACCCAATCGCCCCCCCCCCAAGTCCGGAGCTCCCGGCCGTCGCCTTCACCCGCCCACTCACTGCAGTCCTTCTTGTCCCCCCCCCCCCGCGGCTCGCTTCCCCACCCCTCTCCGTTTCCCTCTTACTATTTCTACGACGAATAACATTCCCCTTCGGGAGCGGACGAAGCTGGAAAATTGTTCCATGCACCCCTTGGAGGAATTGGACGACTCCATGGCAACGGCGGGATGCCCCTCTTTCGAAGGGGGGAAACGTCAAGTTGCTCTCCCTTTGCCGCCCGACTGCTCTGCAAAGCAGCCTCCCGTCAGGCGCGGATTCGCGGAGCTGGGCGAGCGAGGGCGAGGGCGGGGAAGCCTGTGGGCGAGGTGTGGCTGCCGAGCTGGGCACGGCTCGGGTGGTTTTGAACAGTCGTTGTTCCTTTAAGGGCAGCCGGAGACGGGAAGGCGGGCTGGCACTCAGCAGTGGGGAAAAAAAAGCAACCGAGGCAGGAAGAAGGCGGCGGGCGCGGAATTGGTGGAAGGATCGCCATTCCCTTTCAACGGCCTCTGGACTGCAGCGGGCCTCCCTTTCGGAGGACAGGTGGTCCTTGCCTTACGACCCCAATTGAGCCCAAAATTTATGTGGCTAAGTGAAACATTTGTTAAGCGAATTTTGCCCCGTTTTATGGCCTTTCTTGTTGTTAAGTACATCACTGCAGTTCCTAAGTTAGGAACATGGTGGTTCTGTGAATTTGGTTTCTCCATTGACTTTGCTTGTCAGAAGTTTGCAGAAGCTGATCAGGTCACCCCAGGACACTGCAAATGCCAGTTGCCAAGCGACTGAATTTTGATCACGTGCCCACTGGGATGTTGCAATAGTCAAAAGTGTGAAAAATGGTCATAAGTCATTTTTTTAGTGTCGTAACTTTGAACAGTCATTAAATGAACTGTTGTAAGTCGAGGACTACCTGTACAGTTGTGGAGAGTTTTTAGCTGCGAAGTCCCAATTATTTTTTGTAGGTGTATTTACTTCCCTTAAGAGACCACTCCACCTCCGATCCGCTTCCCACCACAGGCACAGGTTAACTGCACATGCAGATGGAACATCTAAAACAGGGGTGTCAAACTGCTGGCCCGCAGGCCGGATGTGTCACGCAGAAGCCGCACCCACCCCATTGCCAGCAATGGCACAACAGTCCCGATACGTTGCGCGACGTTACATGACATCGTGAGTTTGACATGTCTGGTTCACATGTCTGCTTTTAATCCCACAAAAAAGAGAGTGTCTAACCATGTGCAATTTATGTTGCTAACTTTTTTCTCCAGGCAGGACATCTATGCATTTAACCAAGTGGTAAGCTGAAATTCCACAGATGCTGCCCCAGTTTAAGGGATGCACATTGGCCAAGGTATCTCCAGCCTTCCCCTGACCAGCTAACTCTTTACTTGTCGTCCTTATGTCCATGATGCCATACACGAGACTTTCTCTTCCCTTTCATTCCAGCATCTTTTCTTTTGCTTTCTATAAATTCTGTGAATAAATTGGGATTTGTCTTTACAGCAGTCCTGTCAAGCATTTTGATTTCTGCCAAGTTTTGGGAAGGCAGTGAGACAGAAATTCTGCTAACATAAAATTTTACTGGTATGTGGAAGCCTTTTGCATTGTGTGTGTGCGTGCATGCGTATTCAAACTGAACCATACCAGTGACCAAAACTTGTTGACTTGAGTTTAACTTTGGAGATCCTCCTCCATATGAAAGGTGGGGGGCTATGATTGGTGGCACTGCCTGTGTTTTCAGTTTTAATATCTGAGATTGCCAGGTAGGGCGGAATGAAAATCTACTCTGGAAGTTGCTGTTAATCACTAGTGGTGAAATTGGCCTGACTTTATATTTGCACAGTATGGCTTGTTTGTGGCTTGGGATGCTGTTTGAGTTCCCATTCAGAATCATGTCTTGGACCTATGTCATACAGTGGCTTAGTCAAATAAGTCAAATATTCAGCAACTCAAAAGTTATAATGTTGGGAAAACAGACCTTGTAAGACACTTCTGAATCTTCCTATGATCACTGCTGTGGTGTGGGGGAGGAATCCCAGAGAGAAAATTAGCTGTGTTTTTTTTAACCTTAGCTATTGACAGAGTTGGATTTAGTCATTAACTAAACAAGCTACAGCTTAAGGACTCAGACTGAAAGAGTCTTTAGAATGTCTGGTTTTTCTTTCTCATCTGCTATGATTTTATGCATAAAAGTCTCCCTAAATGAAGCCTTTCTGTGTGCCTCATACAGCTCTTATGAATTAAGACAAGCTTTGTTTCTCTGCGCATTCACACCTTCTGTTCAGAGTGGGCCCTTCTCCATCCTATCATGGGTTTGTAATCCATTTTGATGGCCTTCCTGCCCAGTTCAACCAACAGAATTCTCTATTAGCTCTTGCTTCTACAAAACCCTCTCATGGCTTAAAGCCTCACTGTGTTAACTGATCTTTCTGTCCTGGAAGTTTCCTCTGCTTATTTAATTAATTTCATGTTTATTCCTATTTCAAAAAATGGCCAATTCAGGATAACAAGATAAAAGGTTCTTTGATAACTTCATTTTACTAGCAGCAAAACTGAAATGATTTGCCATTGCCTTTGTATGTTTTTTTTTTTTTCTACTTTGCAGCCTAGCCTAAGCTATCCTAGACCTGGAACTACTTGGTAGCATCCCATCCCAATAATATCCACAATATGCCCAATAATATTCACATCTAGCTTTGTTTTACTTTCTGAGATCTGTCAAGATTAGCTAAATGTGTACATTCAAAAGATGAGAACAAATTTGGGGAAAAATAAGAAAGCAACTATCACTTCAAGCTATGGTCAGAGAAGGAAAATCATGGCCAGAAATCCTGTTTTCTTGATACTCCCTGAATGATCTTGGACTAATTGTTACTACTCAGCCTAGTTGGCAGATAGTAACAAAGTTAATTTGTTGCCACAAAATGTCAGTCTGCATTTGTGAAAGTTTTCCTGCATCCCAATACAGAACAGTGTTGTTAGGGAAAGTCTGAATTGTCAGCTGCTCCCAAGGAATCAAATAATGGAAGCTACTGATAATGCTGAGTTTGCTCCTTAAAAGAGAAAGAACATAAATTACATTTAGAAAATCTACATGTAAGGAATGGATAATATGGGATATTTACATAATACAATTTAAAATAGATCCACATTGTGTATTCTTTAGGATATTGATAAATTACATTTTCCAGATCTCACTTTTGGCCATGCCGGCTGGGGCTGATGGGATTTTTGCTTCAACAACATCCAGCAGGCTGTAGCATGTACACTATGGGAAATGTAAGAAGAAGGAAAATTGATTCAGTGCAAGTAAATCAAGAAAAAGACAGCCATGTTTGGGACTGAGATATGGGAATTTGGTTACTTGAAGACTTCCCCTCTGTTTGACCGACTGGGAAGAGGGAGAACTCTATTAAAAGCAGGAGTGTCCAACCTTGGCAACTGTAAGATATGTGGACTTCAACTCCCAGAATTCCCCAATCAGCCATGCTGTCGGGGGAATTCTGGGAGTTGAAGTCCAGGAATCTTAAAGTTGCCAAGGTTGGTTATCCCTCATTTAAAGCATCTCCGCAAAAGTGGAACTTCCTTGAGTCTGGCTGTCAATTCTATATTCTCCTTCTTAGAAACCTCACTACACTACGTTTGGCTGAAAGCTTTTGAAAAGCGTTATTGCTGCCCAAAGGTCCAAGTTCCCAGTGCTCGGATGCCACTCTATAAAAGAGGGATTGGCAGCGACTTCTATCTTGGCTCTCCTCTCTAACAGCTCTTCCTTCACCCCACCCTGCCTTTCCTTTGCTTGCCTGCAGCGCCGTTCTCCCAGGTCTGTTTCTTTTGCCCTATCACAGCAAGGTGTTTTTTTTAAAACCAACCATCTGAATTTTTTTTTGAAAGTAAACATTATTTGAGAAATTACCAATGTTTGATAGGATGCCTATATTGACATCACTCAAAAGTTTAGGAAAGCAGAGTGGATGTAACCATATGTAGGTTTCTTGTAGTGTGCTGTGGTTGTCAATATTATAATTAGCTACTATAACAATACCTTTGGCAACTGCCTGTTGGCAGATATTGATGTTATTTGATGATGGGAGGATATATTTTTCTAGGTGTCAAGTTGTTGCTGTTTAATATAGATAACAGGCCTTGATCGAGACTTCTGCCTGGCGGTATTTAAAATCCAATTTGACAATTGGCATCTTAACTTTCTGTCCTCAGACTGCAAACTGAAAGCAGTATGCGGCTTCTGAAAGACGGTTTTTGCATCACCCATTTGTGAAGGTTGTGCAAGTTTCATTGGAAGGAGATTGTGTAGGACAGCACCATTGAATAAAGCTTCTCCACTGAATCCTAGGATCCAGGAAAACCCTAACTCAGAGCCTTGCCTCTGTTCAGCCTTTGCTCCTCAAGTTGCAGCTAGGAAGAAGGACTGCTACGCCACACAGAATTAAGTGTCTTTTTAAGATGATTTGATTTCAATATTAGATTGCAGCCAGTTTGACTAATTGTCTGTGGCAGAAGCAAAACAAACACTAGTTTGTCAGCTTGTAATTATTGTTATTTTTTTTTAAAAAAAACATACCAATAGTCAAGGGATTAGAGAAGTCCCAGTTGAATTTACGTATTGGGAAAGACTGATGTAGTCCTTTGGTGTGGGTTTTGTCAAGCTTCTTCTTGCCCTATTGTCCATTTGTTTCTTGACAACCAAAGGGCTATCTTTTCTAATGTGCTTTTAACAGCCTCCTGAGACATTTACATTATACAGGCAGAATTTTCCATACAATTGTATCTTCAGGCCAGGAAAACCTCCAGCTGCTTAATCTCTGTGTATTTAGCTGTTCTTAAGAATAATCAGGTGAGCAGGAACAGAGAAATGGATGGTAATTGAAGCAGAATTTTAAACTCTGAAGCACATTCTCTGAAATAAAAATAAGGGTCCATTATTTTTCCGGAAGCTACTTGTCTACAAAGTATATGCCAGCTTTTTTTCACCATCGAAGAGAGGACACCAAATCTGGAATTTTGTTTGATTTTGATCCTCTCTTGGACTACTGTATAGTACCAGATTTGGGCTAACAAACATTTGGATGACCACAGGATGGCGGCAAAGAATTAGGTTTTCTGTATTTCTTTTCTGCCCTCTAGTGATGTCCCAACATTGATAGCCTACCGGTAGATGTGGTTAGCCACAATAATTTGTGAGGTGATGTGTCTACAGTATGCATGTTTCTAGGGAGTAAGATCATGGCATAGGAATGTATGCAACGCCTACATTGAAAGTATAGATGTAATGGCTGGTTGAAAAAACTACCCAAGGGGACATCTGTGCAAGAATTAAAGAATTTGTAGTGTGG